ATGATGATGACCATGGTGGCCATAATGACCATGGTGATGATGGTGGTGATCATGATGACCATGATATCATGATGACCATGGTGATGATGATGACCATGGTGATGATGATGACCATGGGGACCATAATGACTATAATGACCATGGGGACCATGATGACCATGGTGATGATGATGACCATGATGATGATGGTGATGACCATGGTGACCATGATGATGGTGATGACCATGGGGACCATGATGACCATGGTGACCATGATGATGATGATGACCATGGGGACCATAATGACCATGGTGATGATGATGACCATGGTAACCATAATGACCATGATGATGATGGTGATGACAATGATGACCATGATGACCATGGGAACCATGATGACCATGGTGATGAAGGTGATGACCATGGTGACCATGATGATGGTGATGACTATGGTGACCATAATGACCATGGGGATCATGATGACCATAATGACCATGGTAATGATGGTGGTGATCATGATGACCATCATGGTGATGGTGATGGTCACCATGGTGACCATGGTGATGACGATGGTGACCATGATGCGGGTGTTGGTGACCACAATGAAGACGATGATGATGATGGCGGTGCCACCATGTTGGTACCCACCAGTTCTGGGGGAAGCCGTGGAGCAGCAGCATCAATGGGGCTGTGGCGGGACCCCGGGTGACGTAGTGCAGCATCAACCCCGAGTCCTAAGGCGGGGAGGGGGGGTGTGGGTCAGTGGGGTGCCCCCACACCAAAACCAGCCCCCACCCCATAACCCCCCTCCCTGGACCCCCAACCCCCCATAAACCACCCAAGACCCCCCCACATCCCCCCCCACCTTGAGGTGCAGGTACTTGTGCTCCCCATAGGTGCCATCGGCCAGGCCGGGGGGGGGCCGGTCCCGTACCCGCCGCCCGAAGGTGGCCCTGGGTCCCCGTCGCAGCAGCACCCAAAGGCCCCAGAGCCCGTAGGCCACCGCCGCGGCCACCGTGGCCACCGCCACCCCCAGCCGGGCCACCAGGCTCGACACGGCCAAGAGCAGCCGGGTGGGCGCCAGCAGCAGCGAGCACAGGGACAGGAGCATGGCCGGGACCTGCAGGGGGCAGGGGGCAACGTGGGGTGGCTCCATCCCATGGTGCCCCCATCCCCATGATGGTCCCATCCCAATGACCCCATCCCTATGGTGACCCCATCCTATTGACCCCATCCCATGGTGGTCCCATCCCATTGACTTCATCCACATGGTGCCCCCCCCCCATTGACCCCATCCTATTGACCCCATCCCATGATGTCCCCATCCCCATCGTGGTCTCATCCCATTGACACCATCCCATGGTGTCCCCATCCCATTGACCCCATCCCCATGGTGCCTCCATCCCATTGACCCCATCCCATGGTGCCCCCATCCCCATGGTGGTCCCATCCCATTGACCCCAACCCCATGGTGCCTCCATCCCATTGACCTCATCCCCATGGTGTCCCCATCCGATTGACCGCATCCCCATTGGTGTCCCCATCCCATTGACCCCATCCCCATGGTGCCTCCCATCCCATTGACCCTATCCCATGGTGTCTCATCCCCATGGTGTCTCATCCCCATGCTGTCCCCATCCCATGATGTCCCCATCCCATGGTTCCCATTCTATGGGGTCCCGCCATGGGGGTGCCCTTGTCCCGTATCCCCCCCCCCCGCGCCGTGCCCTTGTCCTGACCCCCCCGTCCCCGCCACCCCCCCTCTCCCCTCCCCCCATCCCCGTGTATCCGGTCACGGCCCCGCCCCTGTCGCGACAGCGCTGGGTGGGGGAGGAGGGTTCCCTGTCGCGACACAAGAGGGTCCCCGCCCCCCCCCCCCCCCCCCCCCGACCTTCTCGCGCCGCTTCCTCCGCCCGCCCGAGCTCGGCCGCGCCCGGCCCCGCCCCCCTCCCCGCTCATTGGTCAGAGCCAGAGAGGCGGGGCAGAGCGAGGCGGCGGCCAATGGGAGCGCGGGGCGGAGGTCACGTGAGGGGGAAGGGAAAAGGTCCCAACTTTGGGGCTTTTTGGGGCCATTTTCCAGGTTTTTTTTTGTTTTCCTCCTTTCTTTTTTTCCTTTTTTTAAACTTTTTTTTTTCTTTCCTCCCTTGGAGCTTTTTTTCCCCTGATTTTTCACCTTTTTAAACTTTTTTTTACCATTTTTGGCTTTTCTCTCTTTTCCTCCATTTTTTGCACTTTCCTTTTGACCATTTCTGCTCTTTTTCCATGTTTTTCCCTTTTACTCTATTCTAAACCAATTTCTCCTTGTTTTTAACCCCTTTTCACCTTTTTTTCTGCCACTTTCAAACCCTTTTTAACCCATATTTTTTTCCCCTTTCCCTTTTTTCCCCGTTTCCCGTTTCCCCCCTTTTTTGTCCCTTTTTTCTTCTATATTTTAAATTTAAATCTCAAATGAAACGTTTAACCCCCAAATCTCAAAAGGAAATCCTCAATTTTCTATTTTTACCTTGAAATTAATCCCCAAATTTCACATTTACCTCTCATATTCAGCCTGCTTTCAAACTGAAGCCTGAAACTTCAAATTTCAATCTGAATTTTCTAATTTAACCTTCAAATTAATTTTATCCTTGAATTTCAGATTTAACCCTCACATTCCAATGTTAAGTCTCAATTTTTGTATTTAACCCTAAAATTTCAAATTTAACCCCAAATTGTCAAATTCCAACCTAAATTTTATAATTTCACCTTCAGATTCAACCCTCACATTTCAATGTTAAGCCTCAACTTTCATATTTAACCCTAAAATTTCAAATTTAATCCCAAATTTTCAAATTCCAATCTAAATTTTATAATTTAACCTTCAGATTAAATGCCCAGATTTCAGATTCAAACCTCAAATTTCAGATTTAACCCACACATTTCAATGTTAAGCCTCAATTTTCCTATTTAGCCCTAAAATTTCAAATTTAACCCCAAATTGTCAAATTCCAACTTAAATTTTATAATTTAACCTTTAACCTAAACGCTCTATTTCAGATTCAACCCTCAAATTTCGGATTTAACCCCCACATTTCAATGTTAAGCCTCAATTTTCATATTTAGCCCTAAAATTTCAAATTTAACCCCAAACTGTCAAATTCCAACTGAAATTTTATAATTTAACCTTCAATTTAAATGCTCAGATTTCAGATTCAACCCTCAAATTTCAGATTTAATCCTCACATTTCAATGTTAAGCCTCAACTTTCATATTTAACCCTAAAATTTCAAATTTAACCCTGAATTTTCAAATTCTAACCTGAAATTTTATAATTTAACCTTCAGATTAAATGCTCAAATTTGACTCAACCCTCAAATTTCAGATTTAACCCCCAAATTTCACCCTTCCCCTCAAATTTAACCCCCAATTCCAAACTCAATCTTTAAATTCCCAAATCTCCTTTTCCCAACATTTGGATGTCAGGGATGACCCCAATGGAGGGGGGGTTAAGCAAGACCCCACCCCCGCACTGGCCCCGCCCCTTTCCCCAAGCCCCGCCCCCTGGTTGGAAGAAGCGGCCAATCCCGTGGCTTGTTTTATACAAAACCAAAAGAGCTGCGTTTATTCCATCATCAGCATCAGCATTGGCCCCGGCTCCGGCTCCGGGCTCGGATCCGAGCGGCTCCGGCCAGGAATAATTATAATAATAATAATAATATAATAACATTAATGGGGGGGGGGAGGCTCCGCTCCAGGGCTCGGGAATGCCGGGAATGGGCTGGAGCCCCGCCGGGAGCGGGAAAACCATTGAAATCATACAAAAAACCATGGGAGAAACTGGCGACTTTGGGGGGAAACGGGGAGGAAATGGGCAAAAAGGGAGCTCCTGGGGGGGGGATGGGGAAGGAAGGAGGAAAAGGAAAGAAAAGAATGAAAATGGGGGGAAAAGGAGGACAATGAGGGGAAAAAGAGAAATAAAGGAGGAAAAAAGGAAAATAAGAAAAAAGGGAAAAAGGAAAGAAACTAAAAGGAAAAACGGAGAAGGAAAAAAGAGGAAAACAGGAGGAAAACCAGAAAAAAAGTAAAAAGGAGAAAAAAGGGAAATGAAAAATAAAGGAGAAAAAAGGCAAAAAGGAGGAAAATGGGGAAAAATGGAAAAAGAGGGGAAAAAGGGAAAAGGGGGGAAATCAATGGAAAAATAAAAAGGGGGAAAAGGAGGAAAAAAGTTTAAAAAAGAGGGAAAGGAGAAAAAAAGAGGGAAAAAACTGGGTAAAAGGAAAAAACGGAGGAAAAATTGGGGAATAAAAAGGAGGAAAACAGAAAAAGTAGGAAAAAGCTGGGAAAAAATTGGGAAAATTGGAGAAAAAGATTGAAAAAGGAGGAAAAAAAGGAGGAAACCGTCCAAAATGTGTGTGTGTGTGTGGAGGGAAGGGTCTCCCCTCCCCCATCCCCCCTCGTCCTCCTCCCACCGCCCCTCCCCCTCCCATCCCATTTTGCCGCCGTTTTGAACCTTTTTTGAATTCCGAAAAGAAATTCTTTTTTTTTTTTTTTGTCGTTGTTGGTTTGGTTTTTTTTTTTCTCCAAAATACGTGAAAAAAAAAAAGAAAAAAAAAAAAAAAAACCAAAAAACCCCCACCCAAATAAAAATAAACCTGGAATATACACTGGGAAGGGGAGGGGGGGAGGGGCCTTTTCCCAGCGGATTCGCATCCGGATGGAGCTTTTCCACTGGGACTGGATTTGAAATCTTTTTCCTTTTTTGGATGATTTATACGATTTGGGGGTGTTTGTGGTGGTTTTTTTTTTGCTATTTTTCAGGGATTCGGTGTGAAAAGAGGGAAGAACGGGGGAAAAGAAGGAGAATTCCCGGCATCCCGGGGACGGCCGCGCCGGACGATCCCGCTCCCGCATTAACACTTAACGGAGAGTCCGAAGTTTTGACTTTTCCATCTTTTTTTTTTTGTTGTTTTGTGGGGGGAGGGAAAAAAAAGAGAAAATTTTTTGTGGATTTTTTTTTTTTTCTGATTTTTTTTTCCCTTTTTTTTTTCTGGGAATTTTTTTCTGGTTTTTTTTTAGTTTTTTTTTCCTTGGAAAGAGTCAAATCGGGAGGAACAAAACCCGGAGCCGCCGGCGCCGTTAGAAAAGGTTTTCCTCAAAGATGGCCAATAAATCGCTCTGGAAATTCATGTCGATCGTCGCCGCCATCTGCAAGAGAAAGGAAAACGGCGTCAGGAATCCCCAAGTTTTATTTTTACCATTCCCAAGGGTTTTTTAGTGGATTTTTTAGAGTTTTTTTAGTATATTCCCAAAGAGCTTTTTAGGGAGCTTGAAGAATTTCTTAGGATCCCAGCTTCTTTTTTTACCATTCCAAGGGTTTTTTAGTGGATATTTTTGGAGTTTTTTTACATTCCCAAAGGGCCCTTTAGGGAGCTTGAAGAATTTCTTAGGATCCCAGCTTTTTTTTTTTACCATTCCAAGGGTTTTTTAGTGGGTATTTTTGGAGTTTTTTTGTATTCCCAAAGCGCTCTTTAGGGAGCTTGAAGAATTTCTTAGGATCCCAGCTTTTTTTTTTTACCATTCCAAGGGTTTTTTAGTGGGTATTTTTGGAGTTTTTTTGTATTCCCAAAGCGCTCTTTAGGGAGCTTGAAGAATTTCTTAGGATCCCAGCTTTTTTTTTTTACCATTCCCAAGGGTTTTTTAGTGGATATTTTTGGAGTTTTTTTATATTCCCAAAGGGCTCTTTAGGGAGCTTGGAGAATTTCTTAGGATCCCAGCTTTTTTTTTTTACCATTCCCAAGGATTTTTGCACCATTCCCAGGATTTCTTTTTGACGCTGTCGCTTTTTAACATTCTCACAGGGGGTTTCTGAGTGTCCTCAGTCATTTTTCACTATTCCCAAGGATTTTCCACAGGGATTTTTCAGCGTTCCCAGGGATTTTTTGCCATTCCCAGATTCTGGCATTCCCATGTTTTTTTTCCTGGGTGTTTGCTAACGCTCTCAGAGGGTTTTTTCTTGGCAACATCAAGGATTTTTGGGTGTCCTCAGGGATTTTTTCACCATCCCCAAGGATTATTTTTTTTTTTTGGCATTCCCAGGAATCTTTCCAGCATTCCCAGAGTTTGGGGTCTTTTTTTTTTGGAATTCACACATTTTGTCATTTCCATTCTCAAAGGGTTTTTCTTTGTAACTCGGGGGATTTTGGAGCGTTCCAGCAATCCCTAAGGAGATCTTTAAGCATCCCCAGGGATGTTTTAGCATTCCCAGCATCCCAAGGCATTCCTTTCCAGCATCCCTGGACACTTTTCAGCATCCTCAGGGATGTTTTCAGTCTCCCTTGGGATTTTCCACCATCTCCAGGGATTTCCCAACGCCCCCAAGGAGGGATTTTCCTTTGCATTCCCAAATGGAATCCCTTTTGGAATTCCCATTTGGAATCCCTTGAGCCTTATTTTCGTTCGTGCTTCCCTATGGATTTTCCATCCTTCCATCACCCCTGCAACCAAAGCGATTCCACACTCACCGCTTCCCGGCGCCTCCGCTCCTGCTCCCGCTTCCGGGCCATCTCCCGCTGCTGATCCAACATGGACTGGGAAGACTGGGGCTGGGAGCTCTGGGCTTGGGGAGCCGCTGCTGCCGCCGCTGCCGCTGCTGCCGCTTGCTGCTGCTGCTGCTGCTGCTGCTGCTGCTGCTGCTGCTGCTCCTGGCGCCGCCGCACCTCCTCGTGCACCCGGCGCGCCTGCTCCATGGCATCCTCATCCTCCCGGCTCCTGCCAACCCGCAGGGATGCGCCGTCAGGGATGGGGCAGCTCCGGGGCGGAATGGGGATGGGGGGCATGGGGTTGCGGTGTGGAATCCCATTGGGTTTAGGGAGCGTGTGGGATGGGCACAGGTTGGGCCATGGAGCAGGATGGAGGGTGGAGGGAGAGCGCGACACGTTTGTGCCATGGGGTGGGATCGGATCTGTGCAGATGATGCCACAGGAGCGGGTCAGATTCATGGTACCAGATGGGATTGTGCCACAGATCCCACTGGATTTGTGTCTGGAGATGGGATCATGCCATGAACTGGAGCAGATTCATGCCATGAGATCAAGATCAGATCAGATCCATGGCACTAAGCTGGATCATGCAAGAGACTGGATCCCATCTGTGCCATGAGATTAGATTCATGCCACGAGATCGAGATCATGCCACGGATCAGATCAGATCCATGCTATAAGGCTGGATCATGTAAGAGACAGGATCCCATTTTTGCCATGAGTTGGGATTGGATTTGTGCCATAAGATGGGATTAGATTCATCCCACAAGATCAAGATCATGCCACGGATCAGATCAGATCCATGGCACTAGGCTGGATCATGCAACAGACTGGATCAGATTTGTGCCATGAGATGTGATCAGGTTTGTGCCATAAGATTGGATCAGATCTGTGCCATGAGATGGGATCAGATGTGTGCCATGAGATGGAATCAGATCTGTGCCGTGAGATGGGATCAGATCTGTGCCATGAGATGGGATCAGATCTGTGCCATGAGATGGGATCAGATCTGTGCCGTGAGATGGGATCAGATCTGTGCCATAAGATGGGATCAGATCTGTGCCATGAGATGGGATCAGATCTGTGTCATGAGATGGGATCAGATCTGTGCCATGAGATGGGATCAGATGTGTGCCATGAGATGGGATCAGATGTGTGCCATGAGATGGGATCAGATGTGTGCCATGAGATGGGATCAGATCTGTGCCATGAGATGGGATCAGATGTGTGCCATGAGATGGGATCAGATGTGTGCCATGAGATGGGATCAGATCTGTGCCATGAGATGGGATCAGATCTGTGCCATGAGATGGGATCAGATCTGTGCCATGAGATGGGATCAGATCTGTGCCATGAGATGGGATCAGGTTTGTGCCATGAGATGGGATCAGATCTGTGCCGTGAGATGGGATCAGATCTGTGCCATGAGATGGGATCAGATCTGTGCCGTGAGATGGGATCAAGTCTGTGCCATGAGATGGGATCAGATCTCTGCCATGAGATGGGATCAGGTTTGTGCCATGAGATGGGATCAGATCTGTGCCATGAGATGGGATCAGATCTGTGCCATGAGATGGGATCAGATCTGTGCCATGAGATGGGATCAGGTTTGTGCCATGAGATGGGATCAGATGTGTGCCATGAGATGGAATCAGATCTGTGCCGTGAGATGGGATCAGATCTGTGCCATGAGATGGGACCAGATCTGTGCCATGAGATGGGATCAGATTTGTGCCATGAGATGGGATCACCTCAGATCCATGCCACAGGACGGGATCAGTGCCCCCAGACAGACTCACACCCTGGACCACTCCCATGGCCAATGGGAGCCCCCCCCAAACCCCTTCACCCGCACTGGTGCTGCTCTCACCTCATCCTCTCCTGCTCCCGCCGCATCCGCTCCTTCTCCCGCTCCACTTGCTCCGCCTGAGCCTTCAGCGCCTTCTCCCTCTCCTCCTTCTCCCGGGCCGCCCTCTTGAACTGCTCGAAGCTGTCACTGGAGGACTTGGCCGTGGAGGACGGGGTCGTGGGATGCTTCTGCACCAGGCTCGCCCAGGACCCCATGTTCTTGATCTTCAGGTCCTAAGGAGGAGGAGGATGGGGCTTTGTGAGAGCCGCTCCAGAGCTGGTCCCATGGGGAGAAACCAGCCACGGGTGGAGGATGGTGGTGGAGCAACGTCCACGTGGGAGCATCTCCTTCCTTGGAGCCAAGGAGGAGGCTCCTCACGCTCCCCATGCACACTTGGGATGGGAGAAGCATGGAATGGGTTGGGTTGGGAAGGAGCTTAAAGCTCATCCAGCTCCAAACCCCCTGGGCAGGGACCCCTTCCATGGAGCAGCTTGCTCCAAGCTGGCCTTGAGCACTGCCAGGGATGGAGCATCCCAACCTTCTCCATTCACCCCATCCCAGTGTCCCAGCATCCTCCCAGGGAAGCACTTCCAAAGATCCCATCTACCTCTTCCCTCTTAAATCCTGCCCCTTGTCCTGCAGGCCTTGCTTAAAAGCTTCTCTCCATCTTTATAAGCCTCTTCTATAGATGGAATTTGGTGGAAACCACCAAATTTTGGCCAACCTCCTGGTGCCCACCATGGTCCTGCTCGATTTTAGGAGGTTTATGTTGAATTTGGGGAGGTTTTTTTCCCCTATCTTTTACCTTTTTTGGGGCAACGGGGGTTTTGGGCTCCTGCTTCTGCCGCTCCTTCTCCTGCACTCCTGGTGGGGGTGGGTTCTGCTCCGGGGGTCTGATAACGGGTCTTCCCCCTTCCATGGGTTTCATCTCCGTCCCTAAAACCAACAGCTCCCATCAGAGGTTATCAAGGCCCCCCCAGGCAATCAGAGGTGATACCAGCGTTAGGGGTGATGGCTTCTCACCCCCCCTCAGAACCAGGTGGCCATGAGATGGGATGGATCCCATGGATGAGCTCACGGAATCACTCACGTTGTGGGATGTGAGCGGGGGGTTTGATGTTCTCCGGGTGTTTGGGTGGATCTTGCCTCAACGGGGGGCTGAAGGTCTCGTTACGGATGACGGGCGAATGCATCTTCTCCTCCTTCACCACCATGGGTTGGGACTGGACGACGGAGGCAGCTCTCATCTCCTAGCACAGCACAAACCCACCTCAAGACCCGTGCCGTGATGCTCAGCCCTCAATCCCAACCCCCTTTGCTCCCCAAATCCCACTGCAAACCGCTGGCCCCTGGCCTCTTTGGTGCTTTGGTCCCAAGCCGGTGAGATGGGGCTGATGCTGGTCCCTGGGTGCTGGGACCCTGCGGGTGGGTGCTCTCCTTTCCCCCCTTTTTACCTGCTTTTTTGGCTGGATAGTTTGTTGAGGTGGCGACTGGTGGACCAAACCCTGGAACTGCGGCATCTGTGGGGAATGCATCATGAGAGGGGAAGGGGCTTCCCGCAAGTGACCTGGGAACAGGTTGGTAGCAATCAGTAACCATCGTCACCACGGCGCACGCCAAGCATCACCCCACCTCCCTCCCTAAACCACCAGCACACACCAGCATCCCATAGGACAATCCCATCCTGCATCAATGGTGGGAGGTCCTCAATGGACCCCAGCTGGGAACGCTGCTATGAGAAGCAGAAGATGCTCCCTGGCTTGTCTTGCCTTAGGGATGCTCGTTTGTGGTGTCCCCCCCCTGGTTCTCCTGGTGGTCCATCCTGGCTATACATCCATTCCCTATGGACACCCAAGTGCTGACGCCGCCCTGCCTGCACCTCACCCAGTCCCAAGCCATTGAAGTGGGACACGTTTGCTCTATGAGCAATGGGAGGTCTCCAGGAGCCACCAGGCTCCGTTGTGTCCAACTGCCCAAGGCAGCTTTGCAGGTGGGAGCTCCAAGCACTTCCTGCCCTCATCCATTCAAATCCAGGGATTCTGTCCTTGCATGGAGCTGAGGACAAGCTCAGCAGCAAAGACCTGATGGGAACCACGTGGAGAAGCCAAAGCAGGAGTGAGATCTCCTAAACCACAGAGCTTTGAAGGATGCTCGGTCTCCAAAGCACGACACAGCCAGAGTTATCCCACTGGGAGCCGTTCCCTATTGGGAATGGCAGTGGTGGCCCCACCGAGCCCATGACCGGGATGGAGATGTGGGATCTCCCAAGCCATCCTTGAAGGCTGTGGTGAGGTTTAATCCATCCCATTCCTGGGATGGCTGGAGGTCACACACAGGGATTCCCCATTGAGCATCCCTCCTCCTCCACCAGGAAACCTCATTATCCAAGACCATGCTCTGAGGAACACCGGGAAGCCCCCATGGGGCATCCATAGCCCTGACCTCCTCTACGAGGGTGGGAAGGAGAAGACCCCCTGCTTCAACAGAGAGCATCCAGGCCAGGATGGTGATGAACGCAAGGAGGGCGCTGCTCTCCACACCAGAGATCCTTGAGAGCCTCCAAGAGCCCCGAGATCCTTCAAATCCTCAAAGGACAGAGACCGAGGCCCTCAAAGACTTGAAACCCATGAGCTCCTCAAAGATCCGAGATCCCCAAAGATCCCAGATCCTTGCTCCTCAAATGCTTCACATCCCTGAGCTCCTCAATGATGGGAGAAGTTTGAGGTCCTCAGAAACGCGACCAAGACCTTCAAAGACTTCAATACCCTCTGAAACTTGAGCTCCTTGAGATCTAAAATACTTGAGAACCTCAAGATCCTCGAGATGCTCAAAGTGAGATCCTTGGGATGCTCAACATGAGACCCCTGAGATCCTCAAAATGAGATCCTTGGAATGCTCAAAATGAGACCCCTGAGATGTTCAAAATGAGATCCTTGAGATGCTCAAAATGAGAACCTTAAGATGCTCCACATGAGATCCTTCAGATGCTCAAAATGACATCCTTGAGATGCTCAACATGAGAACCTCAAGATGCTCGAGATCCTTGAGATCCTCAAAATGAGATCCTTGAGATGCTCAAAGTGAGATCCTGGAGATGCTCAAAATGAGAACATTGAGACGCTCAAAATGAGATCCTTGGGATGCTCAAAAAGAGATCCTTGAGATGCTGAAAATGGGATCCTTGAGATGCTCAAAATGAGGATGTTGAGATGCTCAAAATGAGATCCTTGAGATGCTCAAAATGAGATCCTTGAGATGCTCAACGTGAGATCCTTGAGATGCTCAACGTGAGATCCTTGGGATGCTCAACATGAGAACCTCAAGATGCTCGAGATCCTTGAGATCCTCAAAATGAGATCCTAGAGGCGCTCAACATGAGATCCTTGTGCCTCAAAACCTTGAGATCCTTGAGATGCTCAAAATGAGAACATTGAGATGCTGAAAATGAGATCCTTGAGATGCTCAAAATGAGAACATTGAGGTGCTCAAAATGAGATCCTTGGGATTCTCAAAATGAGAACCTTGTGATCCTCAAAATGAGACCCTTGAGATACCCAAAATCAGATCCTTGTGATACTCAAAATGAGATCCTTGGGATGCTCAAAATGGGATTCCTGAGATGCTCAAAATGAGACCCTTGAGATGCTCAAAATGAGACCCTTGAGACGCTCAAAATGAGATCCTTGAGACGCTCAAAATGAGATCCTTGGGATGCTCAAAACGAGACCCTTGAGACGCTCAAAATGAGATCCTTGAGATGCTCAAAATGAGACCCTTGAGATGCTCAAAATGAGACCCTTGAGATGCCCAAAATGAGATCCTTGGGATGCTCAAAACGAGACCCTTGAGATGCTCAAAATGAGATCCTTGAGATGCTCAAAATGAGATCCTCAAAATGAGATCCTCAAAATGAGATCCT